TGGAAGTATTTGAGTACATTAATTATTAAATAAGTTTAATTAATTAATTCAAATGAAAATCTACAGTGGACCCTCGACTTACAGACGGCTCGACTTACAGACTTTTCAAGTTACAGACTTCTCTAGCCACAAAATTTAGGTTCGACTTGCAGCCAGAGAATCGACCTACAGACTAGAAAAAAACAAAAATGGAACAAAAATGGAACAAAAATGGTCGGTCACAGGATTAATCGGTTTTCAATGCATTGTAGGTCAATGGAGACTCGATTTGCAGACTTTTCGACCTGCAGCCACCGTTCCAGTACAGATTAATTCCGTAAGTAGAGGGTCCACTGTATTCCTATACATAGCTCTGCCTTTAAAGCACAACTTGGAAGAGTTGTTTGTGGACTACAAGATCCAGAATCACATCAGCTGAATAGGGATCTGGGATCTGAAGCAAAAGCTCTTCCTAGCTCTGCTTGTTTTCACATTCTTAGGTTTCTATTTCTTTCCTTCCTCCTGAATTTACAATGAACAAGCTGCTATTATGCAACAGCACTTTCATCTACATCTGTTGCATTGAAAACAACCAAGTTGTGCATTTTGGCCCCCTGGTGCAACAACATGTGCGGTTTTTGACATTTCTGGGAAGCAGCTTTTTGATTAAACCCCCAAAGCAAGGGGGAATTCTGTTGGAAGTAGTCCAGAAAACATACGTCTGCACACCTTTGGTTTCAAAGATTTTGTTATTAGGCAGCAGTCCATAATTAAAGCTCCTGTCTAGAAAGAGCACCGCTTCAACCAGTGAGCTCCTCTCTTATCTGCAGCTGGTTGCATAATCAACATGTGGTGTTTTTTCACGGAGATTACATCAATTTTGAGCTGACCTCTGGGCTGTTCTCTTCCCAAGTAGTTGTCTGCAGACTTTGCCACTATAGATTTCTTCCTTCCGTTTATTGTGGCAAGGATGCTGTTTGCCTTCTGCCTACCAATGGAGGATTGAATGTGGTCAGGAGGAACACAGAATCCCTGCAGGTCAGCCTTGAACTTTAGGGATGGGCAAGTCACAGACATGTTATCAATGTGGTCTTTTGGCAGCATTTGAACCTGACTAGATATTTTTACTCCTGGGGCTACATTCTTCCACACATTAATTAAGCCATAACCTTTTCCCCCCATTTTTTCTTTTTTCCCATTGGATCAAAACGTCAGCTGAGGCTAAGGTATCTAGGAGCAACATTCTGCTTATGTATCTTCCAGTAATAGGGTTGACAGCGTACAGAGTCCTGGCTGTAGATTCTGCAGTTTACTATGTTCCTTTTGTTGTACAAAGAACAGAGGCAAATTTGAGAGTCAGTGGCATTGGAGGAGAAGAAAGATTAATGGTTGTCTGCAAGATGTTTTAGAAGCATAGATGCCCATCTCTATCCCTTCTCAGCAGGTTCCAGGGCTCCCTGGCTCAACGCTAGTAGGTTTATATGTGTCATACTTGTGCAGTGTTGGCACACTGAAAAGTGAGAGAAAGGAGACTGAAGTGAGAGCCAAGTGGGTGCATGTACTTGGGTCTCATGTGCTGTTTGGAGCACAGCGAGGAGTGGATCACCAGCATCACAACTCCTGACAATTCTTGTTGCACAAGCTCTGTTATAAGTGGTGCAGGGTGTGGGAATGAAAAATGTCCCCTGGACTGACAGCGAGTCTTCCATAATTCCCAGCAGTGGTGTCATACAACTCCAATATGTCAAGCATGATATACGTAAGGCTACACAGGATGCAAGCCGTAAGAAGAAATGACAGCAATTTTTTCAGCCACCAGGAACGTTTTATCATCTATGTCCCCTCCCAGTTCTGGGTTGCCATGGTAAGGCCACACAGGATGCAAGCTGTAAGAAGAAATGACAGCATTTTTTTCAGCCACCAGGAACATTTTATCACCTGACTATGTCCCCTCCCAGTTCTGGGTTGCCATATTACCTGAGTAGTTGGGTTTATCTGGTGGCTGTGCCCATTCACTTAAATTTCCATTGTGACAGCTTCCAAGACCCCCCTAAGGTTCTGAGACCACTCCCAACTCCAATTTGCCAGACTCTATGACATCACACACCCTGGTATCAGGTACGGACACTGACATCTCAAATAGCCACCCTATCCAGTATCCATTTTGTATAAAATGACAGTTGTTTTAAATGCTCATCGGGGTCACTCTTCTACTCTGGAAGCAGTGTATTGATTTGTACTGTGAGTGTTGGCAGCTGATGACCAGGACATGGGGCACACGCCATTCCAAAAAACAATGGCTTGAGGATTTGTGGCTCTCCTCCCCACTTGGACTAATATATCTGATCTACTGTGCTTAAGAGGTCACCTTGAGAGAGGCCTGCTTGTGAATTTCATAGTTCTGTGGGAACTTGAACCTGGGCCCAACAAGTCACCTTCCAATGCTACACTTCCAACTGCAGGACTGGTCATCTAACAAGTCACATTCCAGCACTCTAAATGCTACACTTCCAACTGCAGGACTGGTCTAAGGCATTATGTTGCCTGAGGCAGAGCACCAACTATTGTCCCTCCCCACCCACAGAACAGGAGGTCCACAGTGTCTTTACAGTCCCTGAGATGCCTTCCCAAGGACCACTGGATATCATTTTGAGAGCATTGCTTCACTGAATTTATCTTTAATACATTTAATTTGATGTGTATTTTTGTGTGGTTTATTTTTCATTAAAGTAACAGGAGAAACTTGAGAGATGAGATGAGTTATGTTTAAATTTACTTTAGGCTTCTTGCTGTTTTGCTGCATTCCAGAGAAATGTGCTGTTGTTTTATTTGTCCAGGACAATGGGCAACCAACAAGTGTATCTTCCAGATATGTCATTTATCAAGCTTCCCATGCTATCAGAGTTCTGCTTTCATCTCGGTATGTGGGGACTTGCATGGCTTTTGCCTAGTCCTTCAGTTTTTCTTTAGCCAAACATCTCTCCCCTTTTTTTTCTTCCTCACAGTTTGACAAATATTCTAAGTTTCTTAGCTCAGGACTAGCCCCACTATTAGGCAGAGCAAAAGAGTTGCCCCAAAGAGCAGATCTGGCGTTGTTGTAAAGGGCCGGCAAGTGGTTATTTTGTTATTGTTGCTGGTGGTACTTTGTTGTGCCAGAGTTAGGGGTGGGGAGAGGTGTTTGTGGGATTTATTGCTTCATGAGCTAAATAACTTAGAGCATTATTGACTGGAATGCAGGATGGGTGCCTCAAGCAGCAAAAGATATTGGGTGAACCTTACTGCTCATACATAGAGGGTGTTGTCTGAAAGATACAGATTCTTTAGAAATTGATTCTCTCAAGAATAGTGAAACATAGGTGACCACCTCTAAGGGGAGGTCATTAATTCACAGCTTACTTTTATTTGGATCAAATGTATGTTCAAGGTGAAACATATGTGACCACCTGTAAGGGGAGGCCATTAATTCACAGCTTACAGTACAGTACTTTTATTTGGATCAAATGTATGTTCAAGGGGAAAAAACATGTCTAAGGTGTTTAGTTGCATTCCTTCATGAGCAATTCAGAAATGGCTATATTACCTGAGGTTTCTGAAGGTGTGGATTGACCCCAAATCATCAGTGACCATCAGTGACAATCACAGTTAAACTGAGATGGCAGTCACTGCATTAAAGACACTGGGAGGAAAGCTTACATATTTGGATTTGCTGCTCCATATCATTGCCATCGCTCTTGATCTGCCATCACTCTTGTCTTGGCTACAGATATATCCCGGAGACACTGGGTTGGATCCAACATTGACTTGCATTTCCCACTCCACAGTTTGCTCCTCCCCAGCAGCCCTCTTCTTACTAGTGAGAAATCGCAGGTGTAAACGTTTCAACTGAAATCCATTCTTGCAGTTTTTGAAAAACTGCAAGTGTGATTGTCAGCTAAAATGCTTTCATCCTAGAAGGTCTGCTGACTATTCAAGGGGACCAATGAGATGTAACGAGGAACTGTATGAAAATTTCATTGTGCAAATAGGACATTGCTCACGCTTATCTGGATCTGACCCATTAGACTGCAAGGTTTTGACTATAGCAGATGGTAGATCACAGAGCTTTTGTCTTTAATTTAAATGAAACTCAAGCAATCACTTCTCTTGTGGATTTTGAAACTGAAAATTATTCTAAATCGATAAACGATGCGTTTAATTTGGCATTTTCCCTTCCAAATCGGAGCAGCCAAGTATCACAGGAAGAGTTACAGGTGCAGCAGAAGAATACCATCAGTTTTATCTTGGTAATGTCCAAAGCCTAGGATTGGCAGGTACAATGTCTTCAAATGTAGAAGCTCGCTCCAAATATTTTCTCATGGTAGCCTTTGTATTAGTGGCTTTCTGTGACAAGGTATTTCTGTGACAAGCCGCCCAGAAGCCACTGGTAATGGTGCGGCTAAAAAATATTGTAAATAATCAATTCTGCATAGTATGAAGAAGTCCATCCTATTTGCTTGACTTACCCTCTCTTTGAAAATGCAAATACTTAGGAAATCTCCGTAGCACATCAGGATGTATCTTTCCGATCAAGATTGTAGCTGGAGAGAGGACTTTTTAAAAAATGTTGCTGGCTCTAAGCCTATCTACTTCTTGCCTGGTAACAGCTGAATTTTTTTTAAAAAAAATCATCATGTCACGAAGTATTATGCCTCTTCTGTGAAGGTATTGTTTAGCAAAAGAGGCGATCTGCAGGATCCTGACAGCATGACAGAAGTCTATGGCAAACCTTCCACAGATGTGCATTTTGTGCGATTGCCAAGTTCAAAAAGCAAATAACTTCGGTGACAGTGATGTTTGCCCTCTATGTACAACAGATTTTTAAAAAATCTCTTTCTTCTCCCTTTTTTATCATGGGGGTAGGAGAAGAGCTGACGCAAGTCTGACAAAGGGAGGTGTTGATCTATCTTCCTTGTTGATTGGTTCATCTGATACACTCCCTTTTGCTTTTAAATCATTGTCTAGATGTATAAGGTCTTAGCTGAGGCAACTCTGAAAGACAGATGCCCTTTTAAATTAATACTGTAACTTATTGTGGGGAAAAGAAAAGAAAAGAAAAGAAAGGTAATTTTGCCAATATTTATTATTCTGTTACATAATAGATGTAATCAGTGTACATTATAATTCGTATTTAAATGTAAAAAGTAAGGAAAAAAACAGTAGGCGTTAAAATTTTGCTTGGTGATTTTGATTGCCAGTTTTTCTTCAGTAGCTGGGTTTGATTCTTTTTGTGGGTATCCAATAATACTGAATACTATTTTGGATTTTAATGTTGAAGACATCCTTTATCTGTCTTCACCTAAAACAGATTTATACAGTGAATTACTACTTTAATAACTGGTAGATGGAAGCTGTACGCTTCATGTTGTTCATCTTATCCTAAATGAGTTTTTCATCTTCAGAAACTGTAACGCGTTAATCCTGCAGATTTATTCATTTGTGGTTCTTTTTTAAAGTTTGCCCTGCAATATGATTGGCAAGTATGTGCAATTAATGTCCCATGCCATTCCCATAGATCTAGAATTGAAGAACATTTTGTCCAGTCCATTAACTGACTCCTTTCATTAGTATTGTGTGTTTTCTTCATGGAACCCAAAATAGTATGTACATTGGCTACTTACATCATCTTGCTTTAGATATAGATCTGCCCAGGATATACTGAGTTTCAGCCGCGTTGCTATGTATACACCTTCTGTCTCTGCCCTTAGAGCATGGAATGTAGTGCAAACATGGAAGATCACACTTACAAGATTGTGCAAAATCTGCAGTCAGAATCACCAATGTGATTATATTTATGTTGAAGAAGATAATGTATATGCTGTGGAGCCCAAGTACCCAACAGGTTGGCTTTTTCTAAGGAATGTAATGTAACCATGGATGCAGAGCCTCCTGACATGCAGCAGCCATGATTCTAGAAAGTTTCTAGAGCACTTACCTGGCATGCTCCAAATATGTGCTGGACTCATCTTTGACCATCCCAACGGTTAGGCTTGCTGGGTTGCACATCTCCAGTACATCTGGAAGTGGAGGACATTCCTCTAAATCCTGCAGGTACAAGATAAACTTGTACAACTCTTTTGTCTTTTTTTCAAAGGAGATTATCCATGCCTGAATTCACTAGCTTTTACCCTATAGGTGAAGCCAATATCATTGCTCAGAAGTGATATCTTTCTGCCATTGGCAAATAGCAAGTAATATATCTCTGTGTCATTGACAAACAAGCCTGTCATATAAATCTACAGGAATATCTATGCCTTATTGTGGTAACAGTGCAGATGGAACAGCACTATGCAAAAAGAGCTCTAACTAGTAATGACAATATAACACCCCATTTGGAGAGTTCAGAATTTGTATGCAGCATCATTGTTGAGATATTATTTAATGGTGTTAGCTCTGGCTTGCTTAAACTGGGGCTGTATATGCAACTAGAAAATCCCAGGACATCCTAAGTAATGCTTACATCCAAGTCCCTATTTATTTTAATAAGATTCATGTCTCATGAAATGTCTTCAGGACTGTAGGCTTACAGCACTGACTTGTTAAGTGTCTACCCAGAAAGAAGTCTCATTAATTTTAGGAGTGCTTACTTCAAGGTGAATGAATATTCACTTCCAGCCTTAGTCATAATGATTGGTCATCATCTTGGTTCAACCTCAGGTCACCAGGTCTGCCTCCTGTGAAAGATGACCTCTGCCTGATTCCTTACAACCAGCCAAACCAGTGGCCTTGGCTGCCTAGTAGCTTCAGCTGCCAAGGTGCTGCCCTTGGTTACATTGTCAGGGCCACCTATGCTGCGATTGAACCCTGTTCAAAAGAGATAGGGATGTCTCTGAACTCACATTATCACATTCAACCTTTGATTTTGTAAACCTATCCATGGTTTTGTCAAGTTAAGGGTCCCTCATGCCAGGGTAGCTCTTCATGTGAAACAGAGGTGGGCAACATCAGGGCGTATGAAAACCCAGGAGGCCAGTGGGGTCCAAACCGTTCCTGACATTGAGCAAGAGCAATGAATTTTGCCACCAACACCCCTGCTGTCAATTAAATTTGGAAGCAAGAGTTTTGGCTGTCTATGGTGTACCAGGGCGCCAGAGTATCAAAACACACCACAGAGCCTTGCTGGTGTGTATAGCTGAGCATATCCTTCCATGCCAGAAGAAATAGGAAGAGAAAGGAAAAAGAAGGCCTTTTAAAAAAGTGTATTGTAGCAGTAGTAACACTAATTTTTGGTGGCATGGTTTGTCAGTGGCAACAATGGCAAGTATGGACAGGGGAGGTACAGAATCTACTGGAGGGGCACATCGTGTTTTCATGCCACATGTGTAGAAGCTCAGATTAAAAACGAGTCTTCCAATACATTGGTCAATTCTCTTCAGAAGTACAGTGGTGCCTCGCAAGACGAATTTAATTCGTTCCACAGTTAATGCTGTCTTGCGAAAAATTTGTCTTGTGAAATGTGTTTTCCCATAGGAATGCATTGAAATCTAATTAATGCGTTCCTATGGGCAATAAAAGTCAGAACAAAGTCAAATTTGGTTTTCAAAGGGTTTATCAAGTGTTCTTTAAAGCCATACATATTGTGCAGATGATTTAAAAAATGTCAGTCAAAAAACTTTAACTTTTTAAACATCATAGAAAAATATTTAAAAATCAGCAAACGTGAGGCAGGAACAAAAAACTGAAAACATTCGTCTTGCAAAGCATGGCCATAGGAACATTTGTCTTGCGAGTCATCAACCCCATTGCCAAAACCATTTGTCTTGAGAGTTTTTTGTCCTGCGAGGCATTTGTCTTGCGAGGCACCACTGTATCTCTCTCCCAGGTTTATTTTTAGTCATCTACCACTAGTCATCCAGATAGTTTGCACAAATGCATTCACAAGGGGAAAGTGAAGCCCAGGTGAACATTGGGATATAGACACACACCAGGGTGCTTAGGAGCCTTGCAGCGCAGTACTACAGTCAAGACTCTGCTCGTGGCCTGAGTTCAATCCTGGGCTAAGGTAGTGAGCTCAGGGTTGACTCAGACTTCTACTGCAGGCCAGTAAATTGAGTACACAACTTGCTGAGTGAGTGTGGAGCAATGTGTAGCTTGTATAATTAAACTATAAATCACCCAGAGAGTGCTGTAAGTGCTAGAATATAAGACCCTGTCTTATTTTCGGGGAAACACGGTATGCATTTAAATATAGTCTGTGTCATCACTTTAATGAACATATAAAATGTAAAGTATCATGATGTGCAATTTTGCTTTTAGTTTGGGCCTGGGTAGCATGAAGTGGATGTAGTCTTTTCAGTTCTTATGTTTAATGTACTACCTTGGAATGTTAAGGGTTTGCAACCCCACAAAAAGTTTTATCTGTGTTGGAGGAACTTACTGATAATAGGTTTTCTGCAAGAAATTGTGCAGTGGTTAAAGTGCTGTACTGCAGCCAAAACTGTGCTCACGACCTGAGTTCAGTCCCAGGTAGCCAGCTCAAGGTTAACGCAGCCTTCTAACCTTCCGAGGTTGGTAAAATGAGTACCCAACTTGCGGGGGGGGGGCAATGTTTAGCCTGCATAATTAACTTGCAAACCAATCCGAGAGTGCTTGAAGTGCTATTTGTTTTTATAGGGTGGCACATAAGCAGCACTCTTTGCTTTTTAGTCACTATGCAGGAATTTCATGCAACAATTCCCCTTGCTTAATCAGGGAAATTCTCTTTATCCTAATGTGTTTGGTACTTTTTTTAAAAAGTCAAAGTCATAATGAAAAAAGAAAATAAACTTTTTTAAAAAAGTCAAAGTCATAATGGAAAAAGAAAATAAACTTTGCTAAAGCACCTAAACCTGAGTAATAAAAGTTAATTTAAACCATTCTTCTAACACTGTTTGAACAGTCTTTGTTGCTCACCGGTGGGCTTCTTTCATTTCTTTTTGTTTCTGTAGTATTTTAAACATTATTGCGGAAAACCTTTAATTTTCAGTTCCACTTCTTGCCGTTCACCTACATCTAGACTGCAAATACAGAGTCAGGCACAATGCTATGTCATTCTGCTTGTTGGTAGGTAAAATAACCCTTATTATGTCTACAAGAGCAATGAAAAGGATATGGTTTTGTGTTGCTTTAAAGAGAACCCCTTGTATCTCCCAATACAAGGTCTCTGCTGTGTAAGCCTGAATAACTTTCTCTGACCTAATGACAAATTAGGAGATCACTCACAGTTACAAGACCAGAGTGATCACAGAGAGGAATATGCAGAGCAGCGATATCTGGTAGGAAACCCTGTCAAACAACTTGATGTTCTTTTTTTTACCTTTTTGAGAGCTTAGATTACAGATTTTGAACAACTGCTTTTGCTATTTACTTTTCTACCCCCCCCCCAAAAAAATCTATCTTAAATTTAACTTTTAAACTGCTGTGTTTTGTTCTGACATCCACTTTAATGTTTTATGTACTTCCGTTTCTGTGCTCTTGGGCTATATATAAATAGATGACTGAATGTTTATTGGGAACGGCAGGCTTGCACCCAACAAAATGGTGACAGTTTTGCAGTCATTTGGTAGCTGGCTATTCTTCCCTATGCAGAAAAATTAGGAAGCAATTATTAAATAAATAAAATGTGAGACTAAAGAATGAGGGGGAAATTGCAACTGTGATGATGAAGTTCTTCATATTAGCTTTAACGCTGCAATATCTGAGCCATCGTTTCAAATTACAAACAGTTCAATCCTTTGTATTTTTACTCTGAACAAATTTCCATTAGCTCAGTAGGACACCTCCTTTATAAGCATGCGTAGGATTGCAATCTCAATGTATATGCACTTTTTTCAGGTTTATTGTGCTTGATTTTCTGGTATGCTGTATCCAATTAATATGTTACACTGGCAGATACTTAATTCAGTGCCATGTCTTGGTAGTTTTTGGCTGACAAATATGTGAGTCAGCTTCCTCTCCTGTGAAAATTGGGTTATTCTTAGGAACTGTCTTGACTGCAATTTACGGAGTTATTCCTGACCCACTAAAAATATGCTATTCAGCCTGTAGTATTTGATATTTGATATTAAAAAAATGAATTTTATATGCCTCTGTGCATTTAGATCACAGATAAAAACTGTGAATAATTACAGTGCATTAAAATGTTAATTGAAGCAGTTGTGCCGGTTCATATTATTTTATTTACCAAACAATAAATGAAGGGTTTGTTCAGGCACCTTTAGTTTGTAGTATGTAATTCTATGTAGCAATTCTATGTGAGAATTACCAGTATTCATGTAGAATTATTCATGATTGTAACTGCAAGTTCATACTTTATCATTCACCTGTGGAGCAGTAAACTGGCTGGATAGCTCAGTGGTGCAGTACAATGGACTCTAGATTCATAATAAGAGTCTATACTGTTACAGATATGGACTTCTAGCAGGGTCACCCAACACACAATGCTCACAGGTGAGGCATCCATCCTCTAGACCAGTGGTTCTCAATCCTGGGCCCTCAGATGTTCTTGGACTACAACTCCCATAAATCCTGGACAGTACAGCTAATGGTGAAGGCTTCTGGGAATGTTAGTTTAAGAATATCTAGGGACCCAAGGTTGGGAATCATTGGTGTACATATTCTGAGTTCTGTTCCTATATTGAATTAAACAGTGTAATATTATATAGAAATGTGTTCCAGGTTTTCAAACTATTTGCAATGCAAAGTAAGGGTATTTCCAAACTGATCCAAAGTAAAGCAATGAAGTACCAATCAATCAATCTTTATTGCACAGTCACAGCCCCAACAAAAATTTGGTAAAAGTGAATTTCACAAATGGAAGCAATTTTTAGGTATTAAGTTATACTTTACAGAACCAGGAAGCCCAAATTAAAAGGAGAACCATAACTCAAACACCAGTGAAAAGCCCAAACTTTCCTGGAAACCATGAATATGCCATGGATGTCTTGAGTCTCTTATGTAGCATGAGAGTGGGGGATAATACTTCATCTTTTTTTAAATGTCTCTGGCTGTTTTTTTATTTTTGAAGCATTTTGGCTTTTTTATATTTCGCTGTGTCTGCCAGTGTTCAGACAGGGTGGGTGGCAAATCTGACCCATAAGGCAGCAAACAGGTATGCTACCCATTGTTGCAACAAAGCAACTGACCTAGGGGTATCCCTCCCCTATTCAACAAAATCCCTTTGCTGAGTAAATTTGAGTTAATTGTATAGTTCCTTGTAGGGGGTAGAGACAGGAACCAATCCAGTGAGAGCCTTGTCTGCATGCTGGAGGTCAAGCTGTAGTTGATGGCACTTAATTTCATTCCCCCACCAAATAAAGGGTCAGAGCCCTTTATTTCCCCTGTGTTCATGGTTTTTCACTATTCGGACACATAGAAATATGCAAAAAATACTTTCAAATATTTGAATACAAATCAAATGGGCAAGCTGCAAACTCCCTTGAAATGAATTGGTTGCTATTTGTAGGACAAATAATTTAAACCAAATTGAAGCAGATGATATTCTCACTTCCCATGTAGTATCCATTCGTCATGGTATCTGTGAACATGCGACTGATTGTGATTAATCAAGGTAGGTAACTTGTAACCCTCCAGACGGTCATGCTGGCTGGTGGTATTGGAATCCAACAACTTTTGGATAGCCTCGAGTTTCCTAACTTTATTCTGTAGACTTAACATTGAATAAAGTGTGCTGCTTATATACTGCCCCATAGCACTCAAGCACTCTCTGGGCGGTTTACAAGTTAATTATGCAGGCTACACATTGCGCCCCCCCAAGCAAGCTGAGTACTCATTTTACCAACCTCGGAAGGATAGAAGGCTGAGTCAACCTTGAGCCGGCTACCTGGGATTGAACCCCGGGTCGTGAGCACAGTTTTAGCTGTATTGCAGCAGTTTAACCACTGCGCCACGAGTGCTCACTTAGAAAGAAATAGCAGAGCATGGCAGGAAGACTGAGGTGGTGTGAAGCAATGAGTAATTAAAAGAGCTGCCCAGACTGAAAGCATACCCTGGGAGGTTCCTACACCTACCTCATATGCATGCAGGCACAGTGAATGTCTGACAGAAAGATGTAAAGACACAGCTGGGTGTACAACCCCAAAATTGACTACAAGGTCCACCTTGGTACGGATCAAGGTCAGGCTGGAGTGCCATTCTCTATACATTATATGATCACCAGGAAAGAGCTCTCACTGGACCACACCATAAGCATTCCAAAAACAGAGCTATAAGCCTGTGTTATCACACCCTTACTAGACAACCCAAGAGTTGGTGGTGTGATCAGGAGGAAAAACAGCTCAATTTTGCCTCAAGGAAAGGATAGTTTAATTGGTTACAAAACTGAAAAAAGCTACTGTGGGTATTATCATCTATTATGACAATAAGAAAAATACTAAGATGCAGGGATATGTCCAGAAGAGAGTAGAATGATATAAGTTCTAAAAACCAAGCCTGGAAAGAACAGTTTAAGAATCTGGGCATGTTTAACCTAGAGAAGAGAATACTGAGAAGGGACTTTGTAGCTATCTTCAAAGTATTTGAATATTTGTCAGATGGGAGATGGAGTAAGCTTGTTTTCTACAGCCCAAGAGGGTAGGACTTAAAGTAATGAATCCAAATTACAAAAAAAAATGATTTGGACTAAACCTTAGGAAGAATTTCCTACCAGTAGGAGATGTTTCAAAGTGAAACTGAGTGCTTCAGGAGGTAGTCGGTTCTCCTTCACTGGTTTATAAGTGAAGATTTGGTGGCTGTGGATTTCTTGCTTCTGAAGGGAGCTGGCCTCAATGATCTTTGCAGACTCTTCCAAGCCTACCATTCTATGATTCTACAACCTAAAAGATTAAGGCTTTAGAGACGCAATGTGAATATGAGGGTATAAAGAAGGGGCTGAATATCTGAAAGGCCTTCTCCTTAAAGTTTAACTGGAATTGAGGCACAAGTAATTGTGAGAAAGGAAGAAATAAGTGTACAAAGCAAAGCTTGTACCTGTTTATCTACAGGTCCCAAAATTCCCCAGCCACCATGGGCAGTGGCTACACTGGCTTGCAGACGGAGTCCAAAAACATAACTTTTCCAATCTCCAACCAAAAGTGTGTGAATTAATTAATTACTTAATATTTTGGGGCCTTGGTATATGTCACTCGTTGCCTTTGTCTTTATACTTTATCTTTATGGATTTCACCTTAATGTGCTTGTCAGGAATTACACTTTTTGTCACTGACTATTCCCTATCCTGAGGAGGAGAGCAGAGTATCCAGCTGATCAAACAATGGAAGACCAGCATCATCTCCAATACAGTGTGTTGTGTACCAGAACTGTGGTGTGTAGTTAAACACACACCATTTCCACATATTTTAATAATACTTCTTGCAGTATAGAAGATTCCACCCTTTTAAAGTATATTCTCACAAGTTACTAAGAATACCTTTCCATGTAAGGTGCCTTGCTTGCAACCAGGGTTAATCTGACACAGAAAACAAAATGACCCATCTTTAAGTAAGATAGATACATTAAAACAAATTTCGAAAGAAGAGACTTTTCTGCAGAATAATGATCTCATTAAAATTCTGATTCAAATATATGTCTTTTGATCATTCAACTCTGATTCTATGGAACTGTCTTATAAGTGAGCTCAAAAGTATCATTACTACAACTTTTAGTCTCTAAATCTAGTTTGTCAGTCTGTCTCTTAAATTTGAATACTTTTGTAACTGTACTATATTATATTTTGAATATGAACACTGTTACCTAATCGTCTGAACACTTTGATGTAATATAATGTCCTTTTTTCTTTCCAGTAGGTGTTTCAGATAGTTTTTTTTTCTTAACCATTTAAGGAATGTTTTCAATGATGTATTTAAAAGCTGATGTTTTCTCAACGTCAATTTTATCCTGTCCTTTTGTTTTTCACTTTCATCTCTTGGTAATTCTGTAAGCTTTATCTTGCTTCAGAATCAAGATATGGGCTTGAATAAACAAATAAACATGACAAATGAAGAATATTGAGGAAGGCATCTTGCTGTTTGTACACATGAAATAGTTTGCTATGTCTGTTTGAGAATATTCTTAAAACTGCTTTTTAATTTATACAGAATTTCCCAGAAAAAAAAGGGCACACAGTTACGATAAAATAAATTTGAGGAAATTTTTAATGAGCCTTTTTCTGTCCTGTTTATAGAACAGCTTGTTCCGAGAGTCAACATATTGTGAAGGCAGACCCTTTAAAGCAGAAGGTACAGTTCTGTTGACACTGAAGACGCCTCGGAGTGTGTGCGTGTGTGTACTGGAAATCGCTGACATTTCAAATGGATCGCATGGAACTGAAAAAAGTCAACATAGAACTTAATGAGGAGAGCAACAGTGGCGAAAGCACTGAAGATACTTACACCGACATGGGAGATCCAGAGAAGGCCACTATTAGCAGGTACAAAAAGAAGTGGACCACAGAAAACAAGGCAAAAAAAGGGGGAAATGGTAGTGGTGGGGAGAATTGCAGGGTATATGAAGAGAACAGCATGTCAGGCTAGTTCAAATTTTTCTGTTTCTCTTCCCTTCAGGGTGGAGAATAGTGGGGTGTTTCCCAAATGGTGTGGAATAAACTCCTGCTGTTATCTCCAATCTCTGAGCAGAGATAACAGAGGATTCCACCCTCTCTGCTCTGTTCCTGTTGGAGAGTGAGTGAGATTGACCAATCCATAGGGCAGGGCAGGACAAAATCAGAAGAGTTGGGAGCCATTATTAAAGCTCTCTTCTTTTGTGGTCTGTACCATATCTGGAAATGGCCAAACACTGTGATTCTTTTTTAAAATCAAACAGGAAGTGCTAGATCCTGCCCTCACTCCAGGTCCAGAGATTTATTGCTCTTAGTGGCCTTTTTGTCCAGAATAGATGGGGGGGGGATGCCCCTGGCTGCACTTTGTCTCTACCTTACAGATAAGGCTTCAGGGAAGGAAAACTGAAATTACTTACTAGATTAAATCCATGAAGTAGAGGTTCCTCTCCCTCTCTCTTCACAAACCAAGAACATGATAAATTCATTAGACCGTACTCAAATTCCTGAGAAATATAGTCATTTTAAAAAATCGAGGTAAAAATATTTTATCGAGACTTTGTTTAGATTTCACAACATGTGGCATCTTTTTCGCTGAAGTTTTTGCATTATTTGCATAGCACTGTAGTGTTTCAAAGTGTATAGCCTGATCAAAAATACTGTATATTAGAGTGCAGTGATGCTTATCTCTTTGCTTGCTTTTATGTCTGTCTCCTCCTCCTCAGTCAGTTTGTAGGTGATGATGCAGAAAGTCAGAAGTTCCTCACCAATGGCTTTCTGGGTAAAAAGAAGCTGGAAAATTATGCAGATGAATACGTAAGTTTATTCCTCACAGTTGAATTGTGGGACTGTCATTGCAGACCCGCTGCATCACTAATGGAATCCTTTCACTGTTGTCTTTCAACAGAATCCAGGAAATATTTCATTTGGGATATCGGCATTTAACTTGAGCAACGCCATCATGGGCAGTGGCATCTTGGGGTTGTCCTATGCCATGGCCAACACTGGAATTGTACTTTTCATGTAGGTATCCAGAATGCGATGTAGGGGGAAAATGCAGAAAGCCAGACTTAATACTAAGCTATCCTAAAATAAGAACTTCTCTGTGCTCATTCTCTGTGTGCTATTTGCATGGTCCATTCCCAATGCAAGATTTTGGCCAATGAGTCAATAGTTTCTCAAAGTAGGCTGTTATCTGTGCAGGAGGGCTTGACAGAAGTCACTCTGTTGGCTTCCACTGGCAGATTTGTGCATTAAAGTTTAATGGCTGTGTCTCTGCTACAGCCTGGAAAAGTTAACTCTTAACTCTCAACATTCCATGCTATTTAGGAAATTGTGGGAACTGCAGTCGACAACAGTAGCTTTTTCAGGCTCTAATCTCTTCTACTAACTGCTCCAAATGCCTTAAGCAGTCCCACATCTCTATAAAGAAAGGAGATGCCTTAAATATTTAAGGATAGTTCTATCTAATGCATTCATTATTGACCAACAACTTTGTCTGTGTCTCAGCTATAAGTTCATATTATTTATTTTTCAGTAGGCAAAAAAATTAAAATGACAGATCTCGCTTTCTCTGGTTACATAACATCAACACCTGGCACCCCTTATTCTGGCCGGAAGAAATTTGCCAAAGGAATAAATTACCCACTGAATTAAGTATCTCTGTAATGAGAGTGATACCACTCCTACCTTAGAGGAGAATGCCCTCCGTCCGTATGGCCCTAAATCTGAAACTGCGTGACTAGAAATATAGCTATAGACTTGCTGTCCCTCTGACATCTGACCGGGCCAAATGTTCTAGCATTGCTGAGAGTTATGACATGTAGCTGACATACACTATCCATACAGCCTACAGTTTGACAGGCAACAGCAGATGCTTCCGAGCAATTTTTACACTATAGCTGGTTCCATCCATTCTGAAGACAACCTAAAAAAACACAAACAAACAAAATAAGCTGCTCAGGCTCAGCTACCGATTTTCATTCCCTGGACCTGGAGTAATGCTTTCTAATTTGGGGGGAGGGGAGAGGCTAAAAATGAAGTTTGGATTATGGCTTTGCTTTATTAGAATGAAACCTTCAGTATTCTCAAAACTGCGTAACTTAAAAGCAATTAACTTAATATTGTTGATTTTTTTTAAAAGACACACAAAAGGTATGAGCCAGTAAAGAGTGGCCCAAACCACAAAAATGGTGGTTTGCGGTGGTTCATGACTATTCACAAACCACGAACCTTCTGAACTTCACAACAACAAACCATGAACTAGTAAATTTTTTAAAAAGTTCATTCCATGGAGGGAGGGGGAACTAGACACCCCACCCCCACAGCCTGCTCCCTTCCCACTGCACCCATCACCTCCCTACCTGGTCCTTCCTCCTCCTCCCCCTCAATTGCTGCAAACGGGTGATCCAGCACCATGCAGTTCTGGATTGCCCATGTGCAGCCCCACAGCCTGCCTGTTGCCCCACAGCCTCCCTACCTGGTCCCGTTGCCTCCTGTTCCTCCTCCTCCACTGCTGCCATATGGAGAGACAGCAGCTGAGCTTCCCTCCCAGAAGCCAGGCCTGCTGTCTCTGGGCATGCACCCACCTATCAGCTGGGGTATGCACAGAGGCAGCAGGCCCAGGCCCCAGAAGGGAAGCGCCAGGCCTGCTGTCTCTCAAAATGTAGGTGGAGGACGAAGAGGAGTAGGGCAACAGGACCAAGTAGGGAGGCGGGAGGGGGGGACAGTGAGAAGGAGGTGGGGGCAGGCTGTGGGTTGGAGGGTGGGGGCAACCCAGAAAGGTTGTTACATTGTTGATAAAGTCGATGACTCAGAACCAATGAACAGTGATTTTTAACGAACTTCCTCATTTTTTTAGTTCGTTCTTATCTCTGTTGGCCAGCATCTAAAAGGATCCTTTCCTATATGTATCCAAAATTTATTTTGGAGGGCTGAGACCCTCCTGAGCACATTTTGACATCACAGAGGTCTTAAGGAAAGAAAGAAAGAAGCAGTTGCTTACCATTTCATGCAAATGTGTGTACCAGAGTGAAGAACTTTTAAATTCTTCATGGCAAGATGAGTTTGGCCAGAAAAATTAGTCTTAGATGTAAAGTTCAAAAGTTCTTGGCAAGATGGCATTCACCAGCCACATCTCTCTTAGATGTAAGTCAGGAAAGGATATGGTTTCTGTTTAATGGTTACAGCTGAGGCAGCTGTGGATTGAGTGTAACCCCCAGTTCTTTATACTATTTTCTAGACTTCAAAAAAAGTAAATTTTCTCAGCTCTGCTATTTTCTGAAAACTGTTTGCTCCATTTAAGAATAATACATGCATGATTATTTTAGTCAAAGTATGTGCCCTATTGCTGTGTTTCGAATGTAGCTTGACACATGAACACTATTTAAAGTTATACTCCTTAGAGAACTTGGGAATGCATTGTGTATATTTTTATTATCATTAATTCATGTAATACTGTAGCTGCTTGCATAACAAAGCATATATGAATGAAAATAATTTCATATTTGAACATTAGTTAAGAGGTTGGACTTCTCCGGAAATGCATTTCCTTTGGTTTCAGGGCATACATATTTGTATCATGGTTTGTTTCCTCTTCATTTCTATAAAAGTAACCCTAAGATACAGAGGGCAAGTGGGCGGCAGGCCTTTGAACTTTCCATTCTTTCATCCATCCTCCCTACAGAAGGTTATTGACCTTACCACTGAAAATTAAAATGTGTACTAAAGTCTGGATAACACAAATGTGTAGAGGTCATTTTTAAAGACAGAGATAATCTAATAAAGATTCCCAATGTCTTTTATTCTTTACAGAATCTTACTGTTCAGTGTAGCCATCATGTCACTCTATTCAGTTCATCTACTTCTGAAGACATCCAAAGAAGGAGGTATGATATAGATAGATGGATATATATAGACAGACAGTAACTTGTACAAGGTTCATTTTGGGTGGGCACATCCCAACCGGGCAGGCAAAAAAGGCAGGGCTTGTTTGCACACCATCTATAAAGGCAGAATAGAAAGTAGAGACAGAAACGGCAGAAAACTATTAGAATGACTGTAGTGCTGGAAGAGTGCAAGTGTCACCTAGCCAATCACTGGCCAGTCCTTAGACACTGTTGTCATGGCTGCCCAATCTCTGTTTAAGAATCTCCAATGAAGGACAGTGCACCACCTTTTGGAGTAGTCAGTTGCACTGCTCAACAGTTCTTGCCATCAGGACTCATTTTCACTCAGAATCCACTTTCTTATACTTTAGATTCAGGTCCTAGCCTCAGGAGTAGAGATGGGCATGAACCGCCAATTTGGTGGTTTGTGCCAGTTCATTTATCAGCTGACCCTCCCAACCCTGCCTCTTCTGGCAGGTAATGACTCAGAGGCAGTGCCTGGAGGAGGCGGGGCAGGGAAGCCGGGGCTCTGTCTCTGAGTGGTCACCTGCTGGGAGGAAGCAGGGCTATGAAGTGCCAAACACTTGTTTGACTGCTAAACAAACCGGCGCAAACTGCAGAACTAACAGTTCATGCCCATCTCTACTCTGGACCATGGAACACAACCTAGCTCTATTTTCCATGAGCCAGTTTTTTAGATACAATAGTGCCTCACTTGACGATGTTAATTCATTTCAGCGAAATCGCTGTAGAGCGAAAACAACATCAAACAAAATAAAAAACCCATTGATATGCATTAAAAACCGGTTAATGCATTCCAATGGGTGAAATACCTGATCATCCAGCGAAGATCCTCCATACGGCGGCCATTTTTGAGTGCCTGTCTTGTGGAAAATGCCTCCTAAAAACAGCGGGGAGCCATTTTGAGCAGCAGGCAGCCGTTTTGAAAACCCGGCGAGCAGCTGTTTTGATCGTTGTAATGTGAAGAATCGGTTCCCGAAGCAGGGAACTGATAGTCACAAAGCGAAAAAACCCATTCAAACATCATTTTGCAATTGCAATTGCGATCGCAAAAACATTGTCGTGAAGCAGATTCATCGTTATATGGGGTAATCGTTAAGCGGGGCTCGGCTGTACCTGAAGACAGCTAGCATATCTCATAACAATCTTAGGGGCTTTTCTCCAAGCTAAACATCCCTAACATCCTCAAGCACTCCTCATAATGCCTGGTTTTATGCTATCTAGTCGTTCTGCTCAGAATACTGCCAAAATCAGAGCCTGGGAAAGTATATTTTTGAACTATAATCCCCCAGCTATCACATTCAGTGGCCACACTGATGGGAGATTCTGGGGAGTGTAGTCCTAAAAAGTAACTTCTGTATGTCATGTTCCCTTCAACAGCATTGTCCTTGGTCCTGTACAATTGACACAATCGAGCTAAAATCTGTGTTCCATTTTCTTCTACTGGTTTCTGTGTGACAAATGTAATCACGTGCTTAACTTTCCTGTTGAAATCAATAGCCTTTAAAAGTGCTTAGGTTTGGCTGGATCAATCTATTGAGCAAGGCAAGCCTTTGGAAAAGCTGTTTAAAAAGGCCTAGCCAGCTCAGTTCAATGAAAAATATTTACAATATATTTTTCTCTTTTCTGTTGCTCCTAGGCTCACTAATATATGAAAAATTAGGTGAAAAAGCATTTGGATGGCCTGGAAAAATCAGTGCTTTTATCTCTCTCACAATGCAAAATATTGGAGGTAAGAAGGAAAGGAGTTTTTAATTGAGCAGGTTTTAAATAAGAACAATCTGACTCAAAATAAAGATAGGATAAATTGCCCATCAGTTCCACATCAGTCCTGCATGCTGTATGATAGAAACTTGTAATCGTGTTGCCCAGGACATTGAATGACATGGATGACATTTCTAATACTGAAAATTATTTTTTTTAGTCATTTACGGCCTTCTAGAGAGACCATCTGTTTATAATGCAGGGGCCTTTCCCATGTTATATTTTATAGTCATAGGTGGCTGCTGCCTGCATAATTTTGATACTATCTACTGGTTGAAATCCTGTTGATTAATGTAGTAAGTTATATCAGAGTAAGCCCATTGAATCTGTGGGGTTTTGGTGAACCAGCTCCTCTATAGGTTCTATTGATTCAAATGAGCCTTCTCTGATTGTGACCTACTTTATAGTAGTAAGTTGCAAGTACAATAGGGTAATTTGAATCAGGGAATTTACAAAGTAGTTGACTCACCAAATCGCCACTGATTCAGTGGCCCTGCTTTAGTGACTTACTATGCTAACAACAGGATTTCAGCTATTTTGTGTACATCAAGTCTTTTAGCCTAAACATGTTTGATGTTAGGAAATAGGATTAGAACAATACCATGTTTGTCAACATTACATACAGTTTATATCACTTCATACCACTCTTATGTCTGAAGAAGTGGACTTGTCCACAAAAGCTCACTTTAAATATACCAGTTAGTCTTTAAGGTGCCACAACATTTTTGCTTTCTTTATTTTTTTATATTTTTTTGGTTTTGCTTAATTTATTTAAGGTTTTTACTTAGTCATGAACATTTTTTACATTGATTCAGACTTGTTGCCTGCCATCCTAAACATATTTGCTAGAAGTAAGTTTCATTTATCATAAAGGGAGTTACTTCTTAGTAAAGTTGCTTAGTAACTTTACTGAGTAAACTCTGTAAAGTTTACTTCTCAGTAAAGTTGCTTAGGGTTCTTCATAATGCTTGAGGCATAAACAGTAAAAGGAAATAAAACTAGAACTGCATGACAGGAAAATGGAAATTCTTTATGCACCCTGTATAGTTCATTTCTCAATGGGACTGTACAAGATGCAGTAATAAATGTTGTTTTTAGAATTGAGAATCAAAGCCAAATGGAAAATTGATTTGGGCAAACTAAATTGAAAAAAAAAACAAAGGATAGTAATTTGATCCCAGTTTGTCTTAAACAATTCTGGTTAGAATCAGCCATTTACTGAAGTTGAATGTATAAAAGTAAAAGCAATAGCTCTCGGCCTCCTCTTGTACATGCACACATACACAAAGAAGCAGGGATATGAAAATCTAATATTCACACTCAGTGGCTGAAATCCTGTTGGGTGGAGTCTGAAAATGAGGTAATAAGGACCACATTTTCAGGGTCTGCTTGTGCAATGAGAATGAAATCACTGGTAGTGGCAAATTGCTGCTGATTAATGGCTTCTTCTGGCAATTTTGAGGTGCACATGACTTTGTTGCATTGCATGCAAGCCATGCACATCCCCAAACTGCAAAAGGAAGCCTTTCAGCAACAGCAATCTGCCGCTCCCTATTATGTCATCCTTGTTCCACAGGCAGAACTAAGCAGCAGGATTTCAACCATCAACATAAAATCAAGCAATGATTGTTTTGTCTGAACAGAGCTACAGACTCAGATTTGAAAATGCAGCTAAGACTGCAAAATAGAGTGGTGGTTGTTCTATCCAGTGGGTGAAACAATGAAGCTACTGGTGTCCCCACACCCCAGAAAGGCATGGCATCCCCTCCATCACTATTACTTTGAAGCTTAAGGATATCAGAAGCATGAGGAAGTACTGATGCCATGATCAGACACTCCTAACTGTCTGAGGATTTGATCCAGGATCTGCTTCTGTGGACAAAAGAGCTCTGGTTCAAGGCAAGCACCTCCACCTGATTTTCAGGAATCTTTCCCTTTCTGCCACACCACAGCTTACCCCATTGAGCACAGTCTCTTGTACTTCCCTATAGCATTATCAGGAGATGCAAGGAATACCCATCAGGGTATTTGCACACCTGAATCTGGATTAGAGATGGGGGTATTCGTATTCAAATACTGGCCCTGGGGCCAGCCCGTCCACTCACTGTTCTGTTGCTGCTGCAGGCTCTGCGCTCCCTTCTTATCTCTCCAGAGCTTATGGTGGACGAGCCTCTCTGCCAGGTCGAAGAGTGGCTAATCCACCGTGAGCTCTGGAGAGATAGGAAGGGAGTGCAGAGCCTGTGGCAGCAGCGAAATAGTGAGTGGATGGTCTGGCCCCAGGGGGCCGGACCCTCATTATCTCCACCTCTGGGGGGGGGGAGGTATTCGTATGCATATACAAATATGAATACCCCATCTCTAATCTGGATCAAACCTCATTTTCTTCACCTAAGCTGATATGAACAGTATTTCAGTCTAATGGAAAAATCTATTATCTGAATGCTATGTATTTCAGCAATGTTGTCATACTCCATTTAACCCAAGTTAATACATTTGTCATTTCAGCAATGTCAAGCTACCTCTTTATTATTAAATATGAACTTCCAGAAGTTATCAGAGCATTTCTGGGGCTTGAAGAGAATTCTGGGTATGACTTTGTTTCCATTTTCTTTATTAAAAATAAACAGTAAAAACTATTTGTCTGCTTATAACCTTAACAAAATGGATTAATACACGGCTATTTTGTTTTTTGCACTCCAGGGAATGGTATCTAAATGGCAACTACCTCATCATATTTGTGAGCATTGGAGTTATTCTTCCACTTTCACTTCTGAAGAACTTAGGTAAACATTACTCTTATAAAAATGCACATAAAATAGCTTATCTGTCAGCCTTTTGACATAACTAGCTCCAGTATTACTAGTTGGTTAACTGTTCATTCCCTTATTCTTTTTCAAGGGTATCTTGGCTATACAAGTGGATTTTCGCTTACTTGCATGTTGTTCTTTCTGAGTGTGGTAAGTAATTATATGAAATGTGGTACTAACATACAGAACTTCCTATTAGGTATAATTAGTGGCTCTGTTTTCTGCAGTGGCTACTGACATTTGGCCAGCATCTGACTGTCATTTTATATGTTTTCTCTTTGTTTGTTTGAATTAAGAAGAGCTTGGCTGCATCAGACTGAAATCTGATCTAGTCCAGTATTCTCCTCATGTGGTGTCTAACCAGGTGTCTCTGGAAGACTCTCTAGAAGGATATTAGAGCAATTGCACCATCAATCTCACATTCCTAGCAATGGACACTGAGAGTATATTTTGCCTCTGATACTAGAGATGACATGTAACTGTCTGCACCATTGATGGCTCTAACCTGCAGGAATTTATTCAGCCCCCTTTAAAAGCTGTTCACCTTGGCTACCATCACTACATTTTGAATCAAGGATTTCAACACTTGTTAGATTTGTGCAGTATTCATTTCAATGTTAAGAAAAGTGAGAAAGAGCTCTTGTAGTAAATGGTGACCTGTCCCTGAACAAGTTTTATTATGAGTAGACATGGGAGCTTCATATTCGTATCCCTGGGGATACAGATATGAAACTCAGCACCACAGGTGCTAGAGCAGTTCAGTCCCGCCTCCCAGAACCAGCCTGGCTTACTCACTGGCCTCCTTGCAGCATGCATGTCCATCAGCAGCAACATTGCACCAATCACATTTCCCTGCCTCTCCTCTCAGCCAACAGCTTAGCAGCTGAGTGGGGAAACTCATCTTCCCACTTCCTCACTGGATTGATTGGCTGAGGGGAGAGGCGGGGAAGCACCGGCAGGACTATGTGTGCAATTGGCACAATGTTGCCAGTGAAAGACATGCATGCAGCAAGGAGCCCAGTGAGTAGACCTGGCTGGTTCTGGGAGGTGGGAATGGACTGCTCCAGCACCTGTAGTGCCAGGCTTCATATTCATATCACCCAGGATACAAATATGAAGCTCCCATGTCTAATTCCTAGTCAAAATGAGACAGAAGTTCTACAAAGAGAAAACCGAGCATTACCTGTTAGTAAATAAGGCACTGCTCTACAATAGAATAAGACATCTTCAGTGCCACTGCAGGAGAAATTAGAGCCCATGTCCAGGAAGTAGGAATAAGTCTTATTACTAGCCTACCTTAAGTAGATCTACCTGTAATCATTACACCTGTGCCACAAGTGCACTCAAAAAGAAATGGTCTGATGGTTTGTCCATAGATAGATTGCATGAAAGGCCCTTTAGAACATCTCAGGTACATTTGGTCTACAGAGACATCAACTCAAACAAGCATTGGACCCTTGAAATTCCAAGTATTTCCTCTTCCTGTTAACTGTTACAGAGATAGCTGTCTGCCTATAGGTTCTTTACAAAAAGAAAAATGCCTTTTGATATCTATTTCATGGCTTCATTCTTCAAAACATATTATTCTATATATATCAAAAGTACTCAAAAGTACATTTATCATTTTTCTGCCCACCAGAACTCAGAAAGCAATGCCCAATAAGATAGACAAAAATATTCTTTAAAAACAATTTTAAGAGTCAGTTTTAAAACCAGCCTAAAAGACCAAAGGCCTTTCGGATGAATACTGGTTGGGCTGCCTGCTCAAACCTCAACATGGTTGGTGCCAACCTGAGTTGTCTCCAGATGGAGTTGACTAATGGAGCTGTTGCGGCAGAGAAAGTCATGTTTCTGTTATCACCCATTTAGCTTCCAGTAGTCCATCGTCACTGCCGTCATCTTAGAACTGTAGGGCTGGAAGGGGCCCTATGGACCATCAAGTCCAGTCCCTGCCAAGGAGGCCCAGTGGGGAATCAAACACCCAACCTCTGGCTCCACCAACGGATACCTAGACCTCTGAGCTCATAGAGCACTTTCAGTTTGATTTCTATCATGGAGTAAGGCAGGATGAGAACTGTAGCCACATGGTAACCAGAATGCCATTGGATCACCATGACACAAGCAGAATGGGTTGAGATCTAGAATATTACTAATAATATAAAAATGTGTCCTTTCGGATGCATCTTTTAGAGATAATAATAGGAATGGCCTTCTAAAGATGTCCAGAGTTTCATCTCCTGACTTCATACAACCTCTTACTACATGTTTTTTATTTCACTCCAGGTAATCTACAAGAAGTCCCAAATACCCTGTCCACTCCCACTGCTGGACAACAATGTGGGTAACTGGTCCTCCAACAACACCACAGTCCCAGTCCATATAATGATGCTACCCAACAATTCTACTAATTCAGAGCTGAATTTTATGATGGACAGCACCTACAAGCAGTATTCATCAAGTATTGAAGAAACCAAAGATAGGCTTCATCAAAGTGGGGTCGAATATGAGGCACATGGAGAGGACAACGACAAGTGCCAACCTAAATATTTTGTGTTTAATTCACGGGTACAGTTGTGTTTATCATTTGTTTGACAAAACTGCCTGCATGCTGCCTGCCATTCTCGCTTGAGTGAGAGGAGGCTCAGGGTTTTATTGTGAGGAGACAGCTGGGGAGTTATATGTGTGGTCATTTTATTTTAGTCACTCTTCTAGATTGAAGGATATCCCAGGGTCCTAGTAAGTCCCGGTGAATGTCTAACCTTGTTGTAATGGCATGTCCTCATTTACCTCCATGTATAATGGTTAGAAATATGCAAAAGATACAATCACAGAGAGGGGGGGCACACTTCCTGGTACTTATTTGGTTGGATCTGGACTTGCTCCATCATTTCCAGTGCATCTCCTCAAAGTATGGGTAATTCTGGATCCAACCAACTGTGGAACATTCACAAGGTCCCCTTTTGTGAAAAGAGAAGACACCACTGGATAGCTGGTTAGTTGCTCAACTCTTCTTCATTGATGCTTTTAACACAGCAAGAGTTCCACACAGGCAAGTTGCAATATGAACCCATTCACACTGATGAATAAATAGATGATGATGATGATGATGATGATGATTAATATTAATATTAATATTGATATTGATATTGATATTGATATTATTGATATTATTGATATTGATATTGGATATTATTGATATTATTGATATTAGTATTTTCTTAATGGTCAATTAAAGCTATCACCTGTTCCTGCATCTGAGGGTTTTTGTTTTTTTATTCAGTAAGAAGCAGAAACTAATCAGAGTGTTTCTCCTTGTTTTATTTCAGACGGCCTACACAATACCAATCCTGGCGTTTGCATTTGTGTGTCACCCTGAAGTGCTTCCCATTTACAGTGAACTGAAAAAGTGAGTCTGCTTCTCATGCATCTCCATTTACTGGTCTCTATATTTAACTATCATTACTGAAGCTTTTTTCCCCCAGCTTTGTAGTTTTAATTCATAACGCATGAGTTTCTGGTAGAAAATCAATTCCTTCCATTAAATTAATTTTATTGAATGATGATGGCATGTGCTGTTTTCGTTATATTTTTGTGTCACGTGGACATTTCCGTTTTAAATTCTTTACCTACATGATCAACATATGAATTTCACCCCTTGCTAATAGGGACTTCCCAGTGAAAATTGGGTGATAAAATGCTCTGTGTGAAAGAGAAAAGAAAGTACCAACAAGAGTGAGCTCATGGCACAGTGGTTAAACTGCAATACTGCAGCCAAGACTCTGCTTACAGCCTGAGTTTTAGTCCCAATAGACTCAAGTAGCTGGCTTGAAATTGACTCAACTTTCCATCCTTCTGAGGTTGGTAAGTTGAGTACCCGGCTCACATGCAGGGCATTAGGGGCAGTGTGTCACCTGCATAATTAAACCCAGAGAGTGCTTTAAGCACAATGGGGTCCATATATAAGCAGCACACTTCTCTTATTTGCTTTGCCTTGCTGCAGGGTATTCACTTCTAAATGAAGTGAATAAAGATGCGTCACTGGCTGACAAAAAGGCAGAACATTGTCATGCACAGAGCTTGTTGTTCAGGAACAATGCAGTCTCCCTCACCTATGAATTACAATTCCCAGCTCAAATGAGAAAGACATGCTAGATGGTTTAAAACTGTCACAAGTTTCTAACGCAGATGTCATCACTGTGATGCTATTTCATCTGTGCAGAATAATTATGAAAGCAGGAATGAATATACAATGAGGAATAAGTCAAGAATAAAAGCTCTAGCAAAGGTTTTGCCATATAAGGGTTTGTTTTAGCTCACTGAACTTTGAAAAACAACACACATTGTCATTCTTGTCGTACATGTTCATAATAATAAACTGTAGTCTTTTAATTTTCATTTTTCCTTCCTCAGCCGGTCTCGGAGACGAATGCAAAATGTTTCCAACGTCTCCATCACTGGGATGCTAATCATGTATTTATTTGCTGCCCTGTTTGGCTATCTTACTTTCTATGGTAAGTCGAACCTGCTCTCTAAAATGTCAAGGTGTCTTGAGCTGCAACTCTCATTTGATGAAGATCTTAATCAGAGTGTCAGTTCATAAATCCACAGCTTCATGCCTTGAATAATTAGAAATGAACAATAGACTAGTCTCCCCCCCTTTCTGAATGTAATTTTCAGGTACAGTAGCCCCTAATGTGGAGACTACACCCCCTAAATTTCAAACAAGAAAGCAGTGGGTGTATTGTGCTATGGTGTTCTTCATTTTGAGGTAATTCTTCATTTTTTTACAAAAATGGAAATGTTAACTTTTCTATATCAGGGAAAAACTAAATATAGAATTCATGGATATTTTCCTCTTTGGAGGCATCAAGTCTACCAGCTTTCAGATGAATAGGAACAAGGGGTTTTGTTTTGTTTCTGTTACACGTTTCTTCATAATTCAACTATTTCCCCAAACTTCATCTGAAAAAGCAGAAGAAATTACCTCACAACATCCACCCATGGGCTTTAATTGACCTATGAGAAATTGTAGGAACTATGAGAGGGGCCCCATCAGCTTCTACAGAGAATATTGTACAATGTAAAATAGACATTCACATATGCTTCTTAACCATGTCACAAGTAAGAGAAGCCACCACCCAATTAAGAATCCTGAACCTCACCCTTAAGCATTTTTCTGCAATCACTCCACATTTGAATTTTTTAAGGGCATCTTTCTCTCAAATTGAATGACAATGGTCAAAATTCTCATAGGATAAATTTTTGGCACACCTGTAATTTCAGTGTCTTTGCCCCAAAACAGTGGGATTGGAGAGCCCTGATGAAACCAGTTTTGTCAACCACAAAACTCATCACCTCATCTCCCTCCCAGTCCTCTCAAACCCTAGAAATCGAATTAAGCTCAACAGATTTAACAACAGTTGCATAGTACATTTGAAGTCTTAACCAGAGATAGGACTAGTTGGAAAACAAAACATTGGTAACTGTAACCATGGTTAAACACTATATCTGAACTAGGTGTAACTCACCTCCTGTGGCTCATCAGCAGTTATTTACTTCATAGAATTTTATACCACTCCATTACTGTGAGGCACTATTCTGGGCGGTGCTTAACAAACAAAATCAAACAGAAATGTCAGTAAATCATACAATAACAATAATAAAATAAAAATAAATCCCACCAACCCAAAACAATGCAACTGTCATTCATAATAGGGCAGGCAGAGCAAGTGGCAAATTCATATGAGGTTACTATCAAAGGCCTCTATAAAGAGCTGTCTTGAGCAACCTCTTAAAAGTAAGGCAGGGAGGGGATCACGTGTGGCTTGAACGGGCTGGTTCGAAAGGGCCAACAGGTGCTGCAACCAACAATGCCCAACTTCTAGTTTATGTTTTCCCGGCCACCTTTAGCAACCCAGCGGAGCATGGCCTGAGAGGATCTGATGGTGTGGGTAAATGTTCATGACAAGATACAGTATTAAAATAGGAGAGGTATACCGATAGTACAAAAAAGAAAAAGAAACAAAACTCATTAAAACCAGTTTAAAACCGGTTAAAAGCACATGATAAAATATTAAAAGGTACTGCAACAAACAATACTGTATACCACTAAAATTGTGGAATTGTCCACTCTTGATCAATTGCAACTCAATTTCAATTAGTTTTGCAGTTGGCTTTATATACTTTAACAGAATGTGAACACTAACTTAAGTTGTTGTTGGTTGTTTTTTAGGAGAAGTTGAAGATGAGCTGCTTCATACATATGCTAAAGTGTATACTTTTGACTCGCTGCTTTTGTTGGTTCGCTTGGCAGTGCTTGTGGCTGTGACCTTGACTGTACCCATCGTCCTGTTCCCAGTAAGTCAATGACATGACTTATTAAACAGTTGTAGAGAAGCCTCTGTATGAGAACACGCATTACTCATTGTCTTTATGCAGGCAGGGCAAGTCATCTGTCGCAACGGGCTCATTCTGCTGTTGGTTCAGCCCTGCAGTAAACCAAATTCTCGGTCTGTCTGTTCCCCCATTTATATTTGACTGAGTATTTGACTATACCTTTAGCTGGCAAAATGTCATTGCAGATAATTCGGAATACTAAATATTGGCAGAAATCCAAGTAATGTAAATTTATGCCACCTAGATCTGATTCTGCCATTAGTCACAGCCATATTTCATTAATTAAAAGTTTCCTATCCCTTCCCCAGGGTTTCCAGGCTCCCCTAGGATCTCTTTGGTCCTGAAGAAATGTTGGGGAGCAATGGGACAGGGAGAGTCTTTAACAAGTGAAAGTTACTTCTGCTAGTCCTACCATGGCATAATTTTATGTTACTGGATTTCAGTCACTACTTTTTTGGAATACATGCCCCAGAATCCCCCAAACAATGTGGGCCACTGGCCATACCTTTGAGGGGAGAAGTGTTTGGAGTTATAGTGTGTGGGGGGAAAGTAACCTTTCCCAGCTGGGTTTACATTGAGAGTGCTATTAGATGGCCATTTGTTGTGCTGTTTGGTTTGCTGTGGGGGTGAGCAAAGATTAAAGGAAGCTTAACATGCTTTCTGGTTAATCCTGCACAGGACAGATGCCATTCTGCACAGGTGTCATCACCATCCTGTGCAGCTTGGTATCTTTGGTAGAAAAAAAAACGAGCACAAAACTTCTGGGAGATCCCACAAGAAACCATGAGATCACAGGATCAAAGCTTCTTAATTTTAAAAAGAAAAAAAACTAAGTTCAAAGGGAAAGGGGTGAAGTTTTTCTCAGTCTCTATCCAAAAGCAAGAGGCTCATCCCTAAAGTATGCATACAATTGTTCAATGAGGTGACTGAATAAGAAGAGAAAACACTGTTTATTTGAGATTGGCTTCTTGACAGATCCTGAACAGAACTGTGTGTGTCAGAGTCTCTTGCGTGGTGCATTACAGCTGCTTTCAGAAACCAGGGGTTTCTCAGATTACAAAGTCCTTAAAGGAATATTCCACTGGAATGACTAAATGCTATGTTTTGTTTCATACTGTGAGCATGCAGAGTGGTTATGTAATTTCCACTATGGCCCCACTGATAGTAATAAGACACATACACCCCATAAATCTGTGGCATAATACCTATGAACACCATACATTCTGAAATTCACCCTGAATTCACTCTGAATACGCTCCCAGTTAGTACACCTAAGAGAGCTTTCTGCAGAACACTGCCAAAGGTGATGAGACATGGTGCTCTCTCACCTGTAACAATGGGCTAGAAGAGGGAATTTCAAGCTAAGCCTGCTGAAATTCTCTTTTTATATACAACAGTGAAAAACCACTTACATTGCATTGTGTAAGTCTCCTGCTCAACCTGCCAGTCAGTCTCTTATAAGAGTACTCCATCCCATCTCTCCAAGCAGCACCTACTCAGCCTCCTGCTGCCCTTCAGCATGCTTCTCCCTTACTGAGATTTAGTAAGGGAGAAGCATAACCTACTTAGCAGTTTTCTTTCCTCCAAGGACTTTTTTTCACTTCTGCAAACACTGGGGTTCCCTACAACGGGCAGATATCTTCCTGCTATGAATGAAGGGTGCCATTTTCAGGGCCGGCTCTACCATTTAACAGATTGAGGAAGCCAACCCATATGACTGGAGGATTCATGAAAAATATGCAATGTTGTTGTTGTTTCCTTCTTGTATTTTGAGAACTCAGGAAGGGACAAGGTAGGATACTCTGGTTCTGGTGTCAAAATAATTTGAACAGGCTTGGGTACTCAGCACCTTGATTTAGGCAGCATATATTGTGGACCATTTCAGTTTTATCTCTATCTTGTTTTGGCTACTTCAGGATGATCTTACTCCCAAACACTAACAATATTGGGAGTTTTCACGAAGGCTTTCATGGTCGGGATCTAATGGTTGTTGTGGGTTTTTCAGGCTCTTTGGCCATGTTCTGAAGATTGTTCTTCCTAACGTTTCGCCAGTCTCTGTGGCCGGCATCTTCAGAGGACAGCACTCTGTGCTCTGGTGTAACACTCCCAAGCTAACTACAGAGACTGGAAGAACAACCTTCAGAACACAGCCAAAGAGCCCGAAAAACCCACAACAACCAATATTGGGAGTGTTCAGGGGACTGTTTGGGACCCCAAGGTGCAGTTTGGAAGCCATTGAAATTAGAGACAAAAGTCCCATTGACTTTTAAAAGGTCTGCTGTGACCCTGACATGCAAATGGTGGTGCATTCCACCCTGAGCCCCCCTTCCCTCCACTTGTGCATTGCAACATATTTCTTGAGCTGGTCAGAAGCTTTCTTTGTAACCCTATCCCCAGTTGTCAAGTGCAGCGACTGCTGACCCTTTACCTACTTATCTCTGCAAGTCCCAAAGCTAGAGAAATGGCTGTTCAAGCTGAGGATGTTTGCATGAGCAGAACAAACAGACTCTCCATTTTCTACTGCTATCCTATGCAGAAGAAATGAATGAGCGAATTTTTGCTGCACCTTTTTTTTCTTATGCTGAAGGGAAAAATATCTCCTTTTTAATAACCTGTAAGAATCTCCAGAAAGATTATTAAAACATTTATTTATTGCTGTGTTTATATAACATCCCTATAGTAAAAACAAATTCTGGGTGTATTTAGAGGAAAAAGCAATATTAATGAAAACAAGGAAGATTCTCTGTGCATTTTATTGTTCACGCATTAGAGTTCTAATGACTTTTCCAGACTGGAATTTTGAAGATAAATACTGTAGATGAGTCTTATTTTCTTCTAATAATCGATGCACACACAACCTAAGATATCCAATTGCTTCTTCCTCCACACTTTTATTGTTATTGTATTCCTGATTACTATGCACGGATATGAAAGGTGGCCAATGAAGAATAATAACAGGGGGGTAAAACCTATTTGTTCAAGATACTGTACAGTATTGGAGGAAAGCTTTGTGAATACCTTGGGCAGCAAAAAAGGCAAGCAAGCAGGTTCTAGATAAAATCAAGCCTGAGCTCTTCCTAGAAGCTAAAATGGCAAAGTTGAGGCTGCTATACTTTGGACATGCCATAAAAAGACAAGACTTAATGGAAAAGATAATAATGCTACAGAAAGCTGAAAGCAGTAGAGAAAGCGGAAGTCTGAACATGAGATGGATTGGTACAATAAAGGAAGCCACTGCCTTTAGTCTGCAAAATCAGGACAGGCCTGTTAATGAAAGGACTTTTTGGAAGTTTTTAATTTATAGGGCTAACATACAGTAAATGGGAAGCGACTTGAAAGCACATAACAACAAATATGTTGTTGGACTTTGAATCACATAATTCCTTACTGTAAAGGCTTGATGAGAACAGCAGTCCAGTATCACAACTGTCACTGATTGCCCACTTGATGCAGATGTATAAATGAACAGTGTGTGTACATGTGTATGAGATTATGTGCTATTGCTGCAAGAGTGTTAAACACATTTTGAAAATATTTTGTACATTTTCTTCTTCTTTGCAGATACGGACATCAGTTACTACACTGTTGTTCCCCAGAAGACCATTCAGTTGGACAAGGCACTTCTTAATCGCTACAGTTATCCTTGCATTTAATAATCTCTTGGTGATTTTTGTCCCTACTATTAAAGACATCTTTGGATTTATAGGTATGTTTTGGGGAACAGCGGGGGAATTACTCCCCGTACTCTCGCTTTGTTGGAAAGAGAAATGTTTATTATTGTTACAACTTATGTACTGCCCCATAATGCAATGTTAGTTCAAATTACCTGCACAGCAAAATACAATACAGGAAAAAGAAAAGAAAATCTCTCCTAGAAAACATAAAACTTAGAAGCAAATTGCTTGTCGCATTAACACATTAGCACTAAAGCCTTAGTACTTTTACTTTTAATTAAAAGGAAGCCTGTGGGGCCAAGTCTAGAATGGGACAAACAGTGCAAGAAAAGACCATTTAGGTCCATTCGCTCAGTTCCCAAGGTTGGCCCACTTGTGTTCTAAAGAGGATCAGAGGAAAAAGCTTCCACTTGCAACACCGAGGAGGTGACTGATGTATTACTAAATACAAATCATCCCAGCCTTCTTTGTATATTTGCTTTTTTTTTTTTTTGCTCCTCCAGTGAGAGCTAAAATTTGGGGTGGGGGAGGGGCCAAGGGAGGCCACAACTCAACCCAATCAAATTGACCCAACTTCCCACTGAAGTCATACCCTGACTTAAACCCTCATTAGTGCTCCAGGGAGTCAGGAGTCAAATTTACTCCAAGGGTTAAACCTTTATTATAAGCCTCCCCACCTACATTCTGCAGTCCTCCAGAGAAGGCCCCCACGTGCCTCCTTTTCCTTTTTTTTTCCTCCATTGAAAAGCACATACTGAGTTATGCACTAAATACTTACCATGACATGTAGCTTGACCTGTAGCCGGCTTCAGATATGATCAATGCAGGATTCCAGTCTCAATCTCAGAATCCATAAATGAGGTACTAAACCTGTTTTTTGACAGGTCTACTTGCTCTTCAAATCTTTCCATTAATGCTTGAAAACATTCCCGGTGCATACAAAATAAGAAGTCAGGAAGAAAATTTCCAAATGTAACTTTGCCTCTGCATCCTCATTCTCGATATGTGTGAATGTGTTCCTCCCATGGGGTGGCGGGGGGGAGTTCTCTTCTAGTTTTGATTCTATAGGAATAGGCCTTAGAAGGTTGCAAGATTATTAGCTAATCTCAAGATAAATTTGTCTTGTGGTAGGAACTATTAACATGAACATATGATGGTCCAAGCCCCCTCAGGCCATGAGTTGCCTATACTAACGGATTATTCTCTGTATGCAAGCTTTTCTTCACTCATGCAGAATTTATCTACATTTTTAAAAAGAGCGGAAATAAGTGTCTGGTGACATCTATTTCACAGAAGCAGACACCACAAAATCCTATACTATCACAGGATACTTACAACATTACATCAACTCTTATTATTCTAATTTGTGACATGAGAACATGAGTTTTTGAAATCCACAGGAGACTTAAAACAGATCATACGTAATAGCGAGGGGCAGAATTTAGATCCAGCTAAATCCAGACAAGCGATACAGTGGGGTCTCTACTTAAGAACGTCCCTACTTAAGAACAATCCAACTTAAGAACAGCTCCATTTGCTAAATTTTGCTTCTACATGAGAACAGAAATCCAAGATAAGAACAGGAAAAAAAACTTTCCTGCTCTTTTTTTAACCTTAGGTCATCTTAGGTTAAAAAAAAATTTCTCCCCCTAGTGGTAGAGTACGTATTAACCAGCTTTGCATTAGTTCCTATGGGAACTAATGATTCAATGTACCAACGCACCTCTACATAACAAAAAAACAGCCAGAACGGATTAATTGGTTTTCAGTCCATTCCTATGGGAAATTTTGCTTCAACCTAAGAACGTTTCAACTTAAGAACACCATTCCAAAACAGGTTAAGTTCTGAAGTAGAGATTCCACTGTAGTTTCTATGGACAGAAAAGAGCAGATACGGATTAAATGGTTTTCAATGCATTCCTATGGGAAATGCAGATTCAACATAAGAACTTTTCAACTTGAGAACCACCTTCCAATACGGATTAAGTTCTTAAGTAGAGACCCCACTGTATATGTGAGATGTAAAAAAACAAAAACTCTCAGTAGCCCTAACCCACACTGGCTGAAGATGCAGAAATTGTAGCTCAGCACATCTGGAAGGGCTGATATAATTCACTGCCACTTTCCCAATCTGTTTGTATTGGGGTGCTACCCCCATCCGCCTCATCCAACATGGTCAGAGGTATTAGCCCAAAACAGTATTTCCCAGCTTTGGCTAACACAGGTGTTCTTGGACTGCAGCTCCCAGAATCCCTGGCCAGCACAGCTAGAGGTGAAGGCTTCTGGGAGTTTTAGTCTAAGAACATCTGGGGACCCAAGGTTGGGAACCACCCTAAGCAAGACTTACGTACTGTAAGCATTCTACAAAAGAAGAAGAAATTAATACAATGTAGGCCATATTTGGTTTCCCCAAACCTATTTTCTTTTAACAAACATTTGTGTTTCCTCTTTCAGGTGCGTCTGCTGCCACAATGTTGATTTTTATTCTTCCTGCTGCCTTTTATCTTCGGCTTGTCAAAAAAGAGCCCTTGAGATCCCCTCAGAAGATTGGAGTAAGTATACCAGAAGTAACAGGTGTTGCAGTTCAGTATGGTACTATGTGAAGTTCTGTTCACTTTTAATTTGGATTTTGTTGTTGTATCTTTCCAACTGCAGGCCCTGACTTTCCTCATTGTTGGTGTTATCTTTATGATTGGCAGCTTAACTCTAATTCTCATGGACTGGATTTACAACCCTCCCGGTTCCAATCAGCATTAATCTGGAAGAAAACAGAATATATTTTTGTTCTTTTCCACTGGAAAAGTTGGAATGCCATCATTCAGAGGAGAAAGGGGCAGGGGAAAGACTGTTGAGACAAAGGACATTACTTCTAGTCAATAACTACAAGATTCCAAAGACTTTGCTTGTATATCGCTAGGAGAAACCTGTGGAAATTTAAAGCACCCTTTAATAAGGGGTTATTATTTATGTATTGGAGCTTGTGCCAAACGTCTCTGGCCAGGTGGGGATTAAAATTTGTGTGCTGGAAGATGCACACAACAAGATATGTAAATAGTCCTCGACACAGACTGTTACTGTTATTGTTTTGATAACCACACTTTCCAGATTACTGGAATACAAGGTAGCTGTAGAGATGTTAACTTAGTGCCTTTAAAATTTACCTGTGAGTTATTTTATTACATAATATATTGTATCCTATTTGGGAAAAAGTGTCTAGGATATTTATCAGTTGTCCAAAGCTGAGATCCTCAAAATCTCAAGTACAGTTGCTAAACCAACATGTATATATGTATGCATAGTGTACATACAGAGACACATAAGGGAACAGGGAACAGATAAAAGAATTGTTCTTAAATGGTTATCCATAAGGTTAATAAATACAATCAAATCTAGATTTAGAAACCAGTTATTATGAGCACCGACTTTTCTAAGTATTTTATATGTTGAGCAAGAAATTGTAACAAAATGTTGACTACAGGAATGACCACCATCAACCGACAACTGACGTGTCCCTCTGAGAAGGTGACAGATGTTGGTAGTAAAAATTAGCTATGCCAATAAATTCTTTCTAGTCATTTGTGACTCAGAACTTCCCCAGTTGGCAGTTGGGTGGCCAGAAGGAAAATGAAACTTTACCTAGTCAGTTAGTAAAGCTGGACCCACTGTTCAGTGCATTCATAGCCAAAAAATTGTTTTTAGAATCACTGTGAATTGATACGCCTGTTAACAATATTGAAAATGGTCTCCTCAGGTGTAATTACAATCCCAGATGTAATATTTAGAAGCACTCAGAGTCTAGAAATTACTTTTAAAAAGTAGACGGTAGCAATGATAACTCCCAAGGACCAGCTGGATGTTTTTCATGCAGCAGCACAAGGCCACCGTACCAGCCAGCACTTGAACCTTGTTATATATTTCTCCTTCAACATTTAGTGAAACCACACTTTATAATGTAAAGGTAACTAAAAAGTTACCGTTGCATTATAAAATCTGTGGTTATCCCTATTACAATATCTGTGGCTATCCCTTGATAAGTTACAATCACCATGTGATATAATTATTACCATAGTTCTTGGGGGGCGGGGAAGGAATCTATTACAAGTAATTAATGATTTGTTCCTAGTTACTTGCATGTTCTAGAAGCACTTGTATAATATCTGTGATCATCAGGTTGAGAACCTTTGTGCTGCTTCAGGTAATCCTGGCGGAGAACTAGAACCCTTAACATGATGATGACAGTCCCATGATTAGCACATGCAGCCTTCCCCAGTGGAATCCTGTCCAGATTACTTGGACCTAACTCCTCTTAATTGGTCATTTTAGCTATGCCTGATAGGAGTTGCAAGCTAAAATATTTGGAGAGCACCATCTTGTGAAATATTTGGAAAATGCTTCACGAGCTTGCCAATGGGATTTTGATGGGATTCCTACAGTGCGCAATATCAGAGCTTGGAAAATTACTTTTTAAAGTAATAAGTTACAGTTTAATTCCAAGGCTGTCAACATGTAATTCATTGTCTTTTTACTTTTAAAAAGTATGAGCCAGCACTTGAACCCTATGATATTCATCCTCCACTGTTTAATGACACCACATCCATGTTGCTGCAGAAGTAAATTTAAAAGTTATAGTGATATCACTGATGGTTGGTACTCTCTCTGTGTTAAGTTACAATTGAAACACAGGATAATTTTACCTTCAGTTTGGAAAAGATAATTAATTACAAGCAGTTAGTTATTTCTGACTAGCCCCAGGCCAAAATCACTCTGAAGCCTTACCTTGTAAACATATTTCTGCTTTGATCTAGGATATTGAACAAGCTGGGTCCCTGTTTGTAATTTGTCTTCCACTAAAACTCAGATGGATGTAAGGAAACAAGAAGGAATGTGAAAGCACACTAACCAGTATTGTTAATGCATTTTTCTTTGATAAAACAGTCAGTGCAGGAAACTGTGATCATTGCTGGATATGTACTATATAAGTACTTATGTATATAATTTTTTTCTCTGTCCAATGCTCCTGTATGATAGAATGTTTGATTTTTATATATCTATTTGTGCAGATATTGTTTCATGGTCACAAGGTTCATACCATTTTTGGGTGGGGGAAGAGTTGGTTTTTTGGTGGGCTTCAAAATGTCCATTTGGCATATCAGTGCTCGGAATTCATCTGTGAAAGTCTCTAGAAGGTTACCAAAATGGAGTGAGATGGTCAGGTTTTCTGAAGTCCATTACAACAATAAACTTCAAGAATTCAAGGTTCTTACTTTTTTTTTGTCCATGTAATGTACAAAATACTATTTTAAAAAAAGACTACATAGACTTTACCTGCAGCCTAGTGCTTGAGAAATGCAGTATATATTTGCAGAGCTTGAAAGGGTTAGAATCTGCTGGCCAATAGCCATTTTGACTGATGGATTGTGGAATTTGTAGTCTAAACAGTAATTTCTCCAGGGTCTGAGTATTCATTTGCCAGGTGCTGCTGAATTTTGGCATTGTGCTAAATGGAACATGAACACTCAAAATGTGTTAACATGGCAAAGTGTCTGCCTCTTGCACTATTTATAATACAGTGGGATCTTGACTTGAGAACTTAATCCGTATTGGAAGGCGGTTCTCAAGTCAAAAAGTCTGTAAGTCAAGTCTCCATTGACCTACAGTGCATTGAAAACCGATTGATCCCGTAACAGGCTGTTTTTGTTCCATTTTGGGTTTTTTCTGGTCTGTAAGTCAATTCTCAGGTTGCAAGTCAAACCTAAATTTTGTGGCCAGAGAAGTCTGTAACTCAAAAAGTCTGTAAGTCAAGCCATCTGTAAGTCAAGAGTCCACTGTACTTTAGACCAGGGGTCTCCAAACTCTTGACTGTGAGGGCCACTAGAAGGCCTAGTGGACCATAAAAGTGACTAACAAATGACTCGTTGATTATTCTGAGCAATTTTGCAAGGTGCTACATAAGTTCTCTGTTTAAAGAACCTTCTCAATGAGATGAAGATAGGGAGTGACATATATAAAACATGACAACCCTCTAGAATGGCTACCATCTCCAAATTAGATGAGAAATTGAATTTGGACCAATCATGTTATCGAATTAAGATCTGAAAATTTTGATGACAATGTTGGACAATATTGTCAAAATAAATTTATTATTGAATATATCCAGCTGGACCAGGCAGGCTTTAAGAACAACAGATAGCTTGCCAACATGGCCTGCAGGGTGTTTAGTATTATTCATTTCCCCAACATAACCAAATGTCCAGCCTCAATATGATTCCAATGCCCTTAAGGCATTTGATTGTACAGAGCGGTCATATCTTTTGGCCTTCTGGATCAGCTGAACAATCCTTTGTTTCATTCCTTAAAAGACTGCATTCTGGCTCCTGCACACATATACCAACAGAATAAATTCACAATCACAACCTATCAGTCTAGGTAGATGAACAAGACAGGCAGTCCTTGGTCTCCCACACTCCTTGCCGTAGGAATAAACCCACTGGCAGAGTCAGGAAGATCGAATATTGAGAACATCAGTCCAAAGTTTTTACAGTCAGACACACAATATATGCCTGATAGGCTGATATGCTTCTTTTCCTGCAAAACCCAAAGTTTGATATCTGTGCCTTAACATTAAGTTTTGACTCAAATGTGTACTGGTTTACAAGTATAACATTTCCAAGTCTAATATCAACTACGCCCTTAGTTATACAGAGTGAGATATAGGAGCTATGTAACCTTTGTTTATGCTATTCACACTTCAGATACTTGGGTATAATTATTGCTGAAAATTGGGCCAACTCTTATACAGCAATAGTAGCTTAATCGTATGTTGAGATAAATATAAGTTGAAGCAGTCCTCCTTGGAGTGTTCTCTTTTAGGAGAGTTGTTGGTGATGAATTGTATTCTGTCCACATTCCTTGCTTTTGTTTTAAGCTGTTCCTCTTCACCCCCATAAGAAAAGGATTGCATCAGAGTTTTAAAGAAATATATGTATCACAAGAGGGGGAAAATGTTAAGATACACAAACAATGGCCAATACAAGTCCTCTTTTAGAGGTGGGAAAACAATTTCCCAACCTTGGACAATACTATTACTGTTTCAAAAAGTAGAGATAAGGGGTGCTTCTCAGGGCCAGCAGAGAGGAAGGGAAAACCTTTCCTCAGTACAATTCATCGTCATTTGCAAAATGCAGCACAGTAACTATCAATAAACTAGGAACCCTTTTGAAAGATAAGTCAAAAACATGGTGCCAGTGGGCCACCTTCCACCTCCACTGCCTTCAACACTCTCATGACCTTTGAAAGCTCTGGCATTTCACCAAACAAACCAAAGGGCCAGGTCTCTGTAATTTATCATTGTATGATCGATAAGCTTTTCAATAAAATGGAAATTTCAAAGATGGCATGGGAGACAGACTGACAAATTATTATACCCGAAAACAAGCAGAATAAATCATGGCTGTGCTTTCCATTTCAGAGACTTTTGTTGTCCTGTTTTAAGCATAGAATTACTGTCCTGTTATACTCTTGTTTCAGAAAGAACATTTAATTCACGTGTTGAACAGGGTATGGCTAGGGGACACTTAGTCCATATATGGTTTGAGTGCCCCAACATGTATCATTTTTGGAACTAAGTATTTTGCATTCCTGGTTCAATTACAAATCAACAAATAAAACACGGTGGAGAATTTCTTGTATTCTGTTTATTTATGAATGATAATGTTGATCTGTTACCAATCTTCCCTCTAATGTTTGTTAGTACTGTGTGGGTCTTTGCCCACTCCCCACATGCAGGGTTCCAGCAGCAACCAAAAGTACATGGGCAGCAACATCAGTCTGGTACAGCATAGAGGGAACATTGTGGCTGTTACATAGTGATTTGCTGATTGGATAACTCAGTAAGTTAGGAATCTGGTTGCATAACCAGAGGTCAGAATTTAATTCCCCTCTGTGCCTCCTGCAAGAAAGGCCAGTCTCTGTGGCCTTGGGCAAGGTGCACAGTCCCAGAAATTCCCTCAGAAAAAGGGAATGGTAGAATACCTCTGAGTACTCTGGATCTACAAAACCCTGGAAAGAGTCACCATGAGTTGGAATTGACTTAACGGCATGTGGTTCTTAATTATTACATAATGATTTATTTATTGTTGTGGGCAGCTTGCTTAGGGTTCCAATAATTAACAACTGGAAAACTGTGGCCAATGTTAATATTTAATCCTGGATGGATAAGGTATCGCCTTCTCCCACCCATGTCTACTCGAATCACCCGACAAAGCCAGCAGGGACGGCTGAGGGGCCTTATGCTGAGGGAGGCCCGGAAAGAAAAAACAATAAACCAGGCCTTCTCGGCAGTGGCCCCTCGGTTGCGGAATAATCTACCAACAGAAATTCGCCTGGCTCCCTCGCTGGGTGTTTTTAAAAGCCATTTTAAAACTTAGCTCTTTAGGCAGGCCTTCCCTCCAGTCAATTAACTGTTTCATTTCTTTAATTTCCCATCTTGATAATGTATATATCCACTAGTTAGTTGCTTGTATTATTAAGTTTTAATAACTATATTATTCTATGATATTTTATCATTTTTTGTAAGCTGCCCCGAGTAGACTTTGTCTAGAGGGGCGGGATATAAATCTAAATAAAGTAAAAGTAAAGTATGGTCCACTGTATTGTCTGAAAAACTAACATTTACTGTATTTGTGAAAGCAAAATAAAAGTAAAAAGTAAAAGACAATATACCTCAGCTCATAATGCCAGATCCCTGCTGGTTGAATTAGATATAATACTAATTGTATCAATACAATTAGCATGTATTTGAAATCTAAAAAGCAATTCATTGAGGGGACTTTCAGGATCAAGAGCATGAAGCCACATGGGGCAAGTATACCTCTTTCTATCCTGTTACACTATCATGTTAATTGCATTCACACAATTAGTATTGTAACTAGTTGGCCTCAACCCCTCCCCTGCATATTTCTCCTTATTTAATACATTGTAAGATTAGGGGAATGAAATAGAACAATAGCAGAGGTCAAAGCCAAGAGGCCAGCATTCTGTTGTAACTTCACAGAGTAAACATGTATGCAGAGGAGGAGGCAAATTTACAGGACAGAGAGCGTGGCACAATGTAATTGTGCAACATGAGTCGCCTGCAACTTCCATTGCACAAAACTGCACATGGCACCTTTACATGGATACAGCCTTATGCAGCTCCTCCTATCAGAACCACTTGTGCAATGTCAGCTGACAGCTGTTTGTGTACCATTCACCAATCTATGCTGAACTCTGACTGCCACTCACTAACAGATCAGAGGTTCAAATGTAACTTTGAAAAAAATAATTTGTTTCAGTTACCATACCAGAGCAACGAATAGTCATTTACTGTTAGAATATTTTAGAAGTAACTTTATAGCCTCAAAGACTCTAGGCCAGGAGGAGTAACCTATAACGGCTGAGAGCCTCACATGCCTCTCCTTGGACCTTGGACAGCCATGCACACACCCACTCCTATGCCCTGCCCACTGCAACAATCAATTTCATTTTTAATAGCTCGTCTACTGAAAAAGTCCTGTCACACTTCTTAGTGGTCAATTTTTAAAAAACACCAATGGATGGTGGGGACAACTGGATTCAGAGTTGCTGGTGGAAATGACAAAATTGTCAGTTATGATTCCTGGAAGATACAAGGAGCCTTTTTTGAACAGTTGTTTAACTATTAGTGGGGGGGGCAGGATTCTGGGGGTTGCATTTGAGGTTGACATGGGCCATGGACACTTTGTGCATGCATGGTCGAGAACAGCCTGACCTGGGGGTGGGGGAAGAGACAGCATGGCTAACTATGACTAACATATACAATTGGGGCATGCAATCTTCATTCTTCATACCTAGGTGTATAGGTGTTTCCCAGCACACCCATTTTTAGCCATGTTTGTTCACCCTGTTCCTGTAGATTCCCATGGGGCTACAATTAAAATGTGTGGGGTTTTTGTGTTTTTTGTTTTTTGTTTGTTTGTTTTTTGGAACAGACTATATTAAAACTTCCTAGAATACTGTGTAGTTCAAGGAACAATTGCTAATTGCTGAAACACTTACAGGAGAAATATCCTGAGAGCCAAAGGACACACAACAAGACTTACACTTCTTGCTATAAACCTGTTCAGCAAGGGCAGTAATTGCAGGGTGTTGAAATATCATGGAAGCTTGTGAAATATATTATAGTACTGCCTATGAAGGTAAAGCTTTGAAATATGTCCAGATATTCCCCCATTTAAAACCAT